CCCGGACCAGCCCCGGTTTCGCCTGACCGCCCGCTCCCGCCCCGCACCTCGTGTTTGGGTTGCAAATAGCGCGGGGGAGATGTTTAACCCAAACAAGCTATCGTCTTCCCTGACTTTCAAACATGAAGACAACTCCTATAATTAATTACCAGTGTATTTATTAAAAACCTCAACTCTCAGCCATTAACTCCTTGGCAGCAAACTCTTGAAAAATCTCTGATTTTCACTGGTGGCTTCCATCCAAATCAGCACGGTTTAGAACAGCCTCTTTTCAAATCTGTTCCGAGTTTTCTTCCGAGATCCTCCCCCCAGAGTTTGTGGATTAATTTCCAGCCTGGCTCTCCAGATAGCCAAAACCGGAAGCCGAGACTGGGACAAAGGGAAGCTATTAACCTGGATGTCAAACAAATGCAACGCTAATCTCTTCCAAATGTAGCCAAGTGGAGATAAAACGAAAGAGCCACTCTACCATCCTTCATTTCCAACGTAGGAAGCAGGGTCCCTCCTAAGAATGCAAAGCAATTGTTTGATATTCCAAGGAAAGTTTGGTAGGCTCTCTCTTTTTTTGAGAAGGCACATCCTGTAGCCCGATGTGCTGGCACTCCATCCGTTTCGGGTCCGGCTGTGTGCAATGCCCGCTGTAGTATGACCCGAGAGGGAGCAGCGGCCGTATGCCCCAGTCTCACAGTCAGAGCTACACCCTGCCCTGGGTGTATTCAAGAGTGTGCCGATTCCAGTTCGCAGTTCCCCATACCCTGCGGAGGTGATTTCTCAGAATAACTTTCTCATTCTTTTAGTTCTTCGTGCAGCTTTCCCCTCTGGTCTCCCGCTAGGTCTCCAACAGCACCCGCTGGGCAGGAATCACAAGGCTACTGAAAGGCGTGGAGCCCTGCCAGGGAAAATTTGGGTTGCCTCTGTACCAGTCTGCCTTGTGAGGTCAGGTCTGTAGGTAGAGGACAACAGAGGAGTTTATTATATGTGTATAATTAAAGCTGCTAGCTACAGCCTGGCTTTTTTACTGCGTAATAAAAAGCATACTTGGCCCCTGGACACTTAGGAGCAATCACTGCAGCTGCAACGCCAGCATCTGCGTGGGAGGTGTTGGAGCAAGTATGCTTCTCACCCACCCCTGCAACAACCAGCACGGCTGATGGCAGAGGCATTTCTGATAGCACCAAAAAAAAAAAAAAAAAAAAAAAATAAACCAGCCCCAAACCTGTAAGGCAAGGCTCAGTGAAGAGCGTGGATCCTGCACACACTCCTGCGGGCTGCGAGTTGCAGATTGTACAGCCGTCCTGAAAGGGGATGGGGCACCCAGGGAGGACCTAGGCACTGCTTTCAGGACCTACCTAAAACTAAAAAGGAGCTTGTGTGAATTCAAGAGGTTGAATTTTGTGCTGGAGCTGGTGCCTCCCTTCTCCTGTCCCTGGGCACTGCTGGGAATGACAGCCAGGGGAGGACAGACACAGGGAGGGACAGACAGCCAGGGAAGGACAGACACAGGGAAGGACAGACACAGGGGAAGGACAGACACAGGGGAAGGGCAGCCAGCCAGCCAGGGCTGAGGCTGCTGCCCCACAGGCAGAGGCTGACACTACCCTCTGCTGGGGACTGAGCGTGGAGCTTCGCTACCGGGCTTTGCTGCCTGTACTTTTATTATTTTATTGTATGAGAGAGAAGCCTGAGAGGTGCCCGAATGCACTGGAAAGGTAATAACGGGCGGAACTTTGCGCTTTTTCATCCCCAACTGTCTGAGTAACCAGGCACAGGAGGCTGGCAGGCAGCTATTGCCGGAGGGCAGCAGGCAGCCACCGTGGCTGGGGACCCTAACAGAGCTGCTTGGGACCATCACAGTCCAGCACAGAACAGGCAAAACTAATCATTGAAGAAAGAGAGACAGACAGAAAGAATGAAAAAGAGAAAGAAAAACAGAAAGAAAAAAAGGAAAAAAGGAAGAAAGGAAGGAAGGAAGGAAGACAGAAGGAGAAACAAAGAAAGAAGCAAGAAAACTTAAATGCACAAATTTTCCACGTGCAAGGAGGTCGTACCTTAAAAATCAACCAAACGTACCTGGGAAATGGCCACATGTGACAGCAAAGTATATTTTCTGTAATGTTTGGTATTGCTCTTGGGAGAAGAGCCGACTCCCCGGTCAGTGCATGCAGAGAAGGAGCCACCACGCTGCCTCTTTGGAGCAGCCATCTGAAAATATCCCATACGGCCAAGAAATCCCCATCGCCAAGCCAGCCAGCGTCTATGGATTGCCATTGCCACCTTCTGGATTAGACCAAGTGTGCACCAGCCTATCCCAAACCCGCTGCCGGCCTCCAGCAGCCCAGCGGACGGAGGTGTCCCCAGCTGGAGCAGGGGTCTGCAGAGCAGGAACGCCCTGGCCTGCTGCCACAGCAGAGCTCGGGCACCAGCAGCAGCTGCCAGCAGCTCCCCGGGCAGCCTACGTGCCCTTCACATCACGCCAGTAGAGTTTGGGATCTCCTTTCACCAACTATTTTAGGAAACCTGTGCAAGTCCCAGCTCAAGCTGCCGCTCCCGCTCGACCATCAGCCAGGGGCAGATCACAGCACACTGAAGTGCTGCCCCATCAAACTCCTAACGTTCACGGGGTACAGACAGGAATTCTCTATCTGGCTCATCTGCTGCTGCAAACACCTGATCTACCTGCCCAGACAGCTTGTACCCTGGAATAGTCCCTGCAATTATCCTCCCGCTAACGGCCCTGCACTCCTGCCAGGATTGCTCACGTCTTCTCCCCTACCCCCGGGCACGCCGCCTCCAAGAGCTGCTGATGTAGGTTACTGCCTGCCGCCGTGCAAGGGGAGAGCAGGAAAATTAACCTGGCACAGCTCGATGCTGGCAGGAGGGATGAACTGGATTCTCTTCTTGTACCGGTGCAATGGCAGCAGTCAGCCAAAAATATTCCTTGTTTAGCCTGGGAAAAGGTAGCGTCTGAGAGCGCAACTCCGCTGGAAAAGGGCTTTCAACCCGGGTACCAAGCAGGCAGAGCCAGCACTTTCCTGGGCATTTCTCCGTGGAAAAGTCTCATTTATGGGGCCCGTGATGCCCCGGCTGTGCTGAATACAAATAACGCCCTCCTCCCAAGGGCACTGCCGGGATGGCCTCACCAACCAGCCTTCCTCCACCCCAACAGCTCTCCCATCAAAATCAAATAGACCCAAAGCTCATCATGGTCCTAAGGAGCTGAGGAAGGAGCAAATCACCCAACCCAGCCCTGTCCTGCAGCCGTGTTTTACAGCAGAGGTAGGGCCCGAGGAAAGCAAAGCAAACACAAGAGATTTCCTTGGGGGAAGGAGGAGAGGAACCAACCCTTGGCCGGGCAGCACCAGGGTTTTACCTCATCTGTTCCACTGCTGCTGCTTCCAGGGTTTATTTGGGAAGGGCCCTGTTGGCAGACATCTCGGGGACTCACGGAGAAGGGTCAAGTGGATGGGCAGAAGCAGTCACTGGCTTTCCAGGGTCTGCAGTTCCCAGTCTTTCGTTTTGCCTTATCTTGGCAATGTAACCACTCCACTCACCGGCTTCTTCTGGGATGCTCTCAGTTTGACGGTAACAGAACCGGTAATTTTTCAGAGAGGACCAAGACACCTCATCATGCCAAAAAACCTAAATCTGGTTCCGCTAAACGATTTTGCATTTTGCTCTGCAGCTTCCACAAGGTGGGGCCTGGGCTGGCTCCTCCGTGCTAGCGGGAGGCAGATTAAGCAGCAAAGTCAGGACATTTCTGATAGTAAACATTCTAATAGCGGATTCATTCCTCTCTTTTTTTTTTTTTTTCCTTCTTTCCTCTTTTTTTCTTTCTCTTCTTTGTGTTCGGTCTAAATCTTCTGGGAACGGGGACTTGCAGCGTGCCTTCTATCTGGCAGAAGTAAACCACTGCATCTTGTGCCCATGAAGGCCGAGCGGCACGGCAGCAGCGCCTCGAGTAGCTCTGCAACAGATAAGTGTATCGGGTCCTTAACAGGAGATTAGATGGCGCTGCGTTCACAGGAGATAAGAAGATTTAGAGCTTAAATTTAGCATCATCAGAAAAAGAACAAGCCCCACAGCTCTCTTCAAAACATATTTCTTACTGTGCTTGCCAGGGGATAGTCAGGCTAAGGAATCGCGCTGGAGCAGGCAGCGATGATGAGCGGAGGTAGAGGAGCGCTCGGTCAGGCTCCTTTTCCACGCAGTCCAGCCCACAGTGTGCCCGTGCGGCTGTCACAGCGAGGGTCACCTGGGGTGGGGTGCATGGAGGGGGGTCCCCCGCCTGCCTTCAGCCCCCAGGCGGGCACTCGCTGGGGAGCCCGAGGGAACTGAAGGGCTAGAAAGGGCACCACGCACCCTCCCGGCACAAATGGCCGCTGCACCAGTCACCCACTGGAGAGGAGACTGGGCAGGC